GGGGGTCTCTGCCTGAGAGGACAAGGGAGGGAGGGCTCCAGCAGGTAGGGACCAGGGAGGAGTACCCCCCCACACCCCCTACTCACGCGCCCAGGCTGAGGTGGGAGTTCAGCTTGCCGGGGCCGGCGACAGCCTCGAAGCCGAGCGCCTGCAGGCAGAGCCAGAGATGCTCCCCTTGCCAGGCCGCCGGAAGGCCGCACGGCGCGGCCGGACCGCTCATGGCGGGGGGGGGGAGGGGCCGGGAGTCTCTATGGCGAGGGCCTCTCCCTATAAGCCCCCCCCGCCCGCTCGTAGCCCACGCGCCATTTTGCGCGTCCCGCCAACGGCCCAGGAAACGCAACGTCACGCCGCCACGCCGGCTGATGAGCTTCTTCCCGCGCCGGGCAGAAACAAGAGGGGAGCGAGGCGACTCCCGGCATGCAACGCAGCCCCTCCCCCGTCTTCAGTGCCCGCGAGCTCCGGACCCGCGTTCCGGGCCTCCCGCATCGCCTGCTGGGAAATGCAGTCTCCCTGGGGAGGGCGATTAGTGCCTGCTACCGCTCAGCTGGGCCTGTGTAAGCTGCTCTGAGCCCGCGAGATGTGCAGGGGTCCGTTAGTTGCTTTCAGATGATGCCAGGCCTTTATTTGTCCTTCCCCAAACACGGCAGGGCATCTTACGCTGCAGAGAGCTCAGACCACGACAGGGCAAGAATTGTCCTAGACACCCAGGTTTCCCAGTGGGAAACCCCTAGGCTCATCTCGTGCCACCTTCACAGGCCCAAGCAGGGTTCGCATTGCCAGGAACCGGAGGGGCTCTCTCTCATGGCACCCTGGGGTGTGGCAGCAACACCCCAGTTGAGAATCACACCGGGCACTTCTACACAGCCGTTAATGTGCCTTAATTACTGTTGGAAAAAACCTTCTTTGCAAGCTTTCGCATGCAAACACCCTTTGTCAGCCTAAGGAAGTGTCTGCCACTGGTTTGTGCTCTTCCTGTATGAAATATAATCTTTTATAATGTACCCCCTCTCCAATTGAAGGGATCAGAGCAGGTGCATGAGCACTATGGGCAGCGTAGGGACCCTCCTTCCCCTATGGAGCAGAACCAGGTCACCAATGAAGACATAACCATATACCTTTTAATGAGGAAAACAATAGTGGGAACGTAACGTATAAACTAGGGGATATAGGTGTTGCATAAATTGCTGATTTTATCCCCTGGAGGCTAGTCCAATTCACCTCTAGAAGAGAGTCACACTTTCAGGCTGGGTCCAACTCTATTTTATTGCTTGCAAGCAGGCCGACAGGAGAGCTTGTTGCTCAGATCAGTGCCAACCCTAAACAAAGCGCACATGCTGCTTTTATTGAGCTAGCAATTTTTTTCAGTTGATGTGTTACATTTTGATTGGTCATTACAAAACAAAACCTGGGCAACATGTAAGACATGGGTAGTGGGCCATCCTGTACCGTGTGGGTGGAAAGTTACAGAATGCAGGGGTTAATACTAAAACAAGGAACAAAGAAACATAGAGAAAAGTATCTATTTTCGCTACATAGGGAACACTACAATGCCCGGTGGGGTGTGATTCAATAAAGGTTAGGCATTTACATTTGTAGACATATTCATCCAGTTGACAAAAGACTGGTTTAACGAAGTATAAAACACAAACAGCACAACAAACAATACTGGTTGGCAAAATATAAAATGCACAAAATACAAAACATCAAACAAGATATGATGGGTATAGGTACCTGGAGGGGGTGGAAAGGGAAAACACAATGACCACCTTCTACTGGGACAAGAAATCCTCCTTGTTGCTTCACTCACCCCTACTCTGCCCAGCTGGGACTTAAACTTGTATCTGCCACATCGTAGGCAGAAACTCTACCACACAGCCACCAGTGTTGGTACTGTGCCAAGCTGCTAGGGGTTTTGACCTTTCAGAAGCCCCTGCCTCACATCAAGCTGCCCTACCTCTTACTGGAAATAGAGTTGGGAACCTCTCAGGGCACTGCTCAGCTTCTTGCTGGAATTGATGAACCTCTCCTGTTGGCTGCAGCCTCTTGTACGGGGATCCTGGGTCCCAGCAGGGAGCCTCTCCTGCTGGCTGTACACCACACTGTTGAGGGTCCAACTGCTGCCTGCAGGTCCCACTCCTTCAGGCTTTTCTGGGGCAACTGCTCCCACCCCGCTGGCCCTGCTCTTGCCAGCTCTTTGAGACTCCTTCCTCGTCTGCTGGCCCAGCTCTTTGAGACTCCTTCCTCATGATCCCTCACTGGTCCTCCCTGAGTCAGCTGCTGCGCTGCCCCTTTTATCCCTCTCTGGGTGACCCGAGGGGCCAATCAGAGGGCATGGAGGGTGAGTTTCTGGGGCCTGATTGGTGAGGAAAGGGAATCCCAAGCCCTCCAATCATCTCTTACCCTTTCAAAACCCCTGTGACAAATCACCACCAGCTAGCCCATCACAATAATATAAAAGATTTTATACTATAAAAGATTATATTCCATTCAGGGACATAAAAGATCTTTTAATATAAAATTGTCTCATATAAAATCTTTTATATTTCATCCAGGAAGAGCACAGACCAACTGCAGATTCTTCCTCAGCCTGCCGAAGAGTGTTTGTACCCAAAAGCTTACAAAGAAGAATTTTTCCAACTATTCGAGTTGGTCTAATAAAAAATATCGGATTTGCTCAAAGAACCTTGTCTGCCTATGTTCTTAGACCAACACCTATACCCCTTAATTACTGTGCATTTAGTTTAGGATTTATTTAATGAAGTACTAACTAAATGCACCGTAACTAGAGTTCCTGCGCAGCAGTGCTGGCACACAGTTATTTTGTGATGCTTACTGCACATTAGCCTAATAACCACGCTACTGTGTAGTAGGCCATTAACCACCATGCTACTGACTGCACAGTGTTATTTAGCCTAACACACAGTGTCTCATAGACACGCTCACTGTAACAAGTACATATTAGATGCAGCAAAAGCGCTAGTGGGCTAGAGCTCGCTTGGTGGGGGGCTGTGAAGTGAGGGCCAGGGAGCAGCATAAGGAGAAAGAGATTTAAATAGAAAGTGAGAAGGAGGGTAGAGATGGGAGAAGCAAACAAGCTAGGATGATATACTTGGGGATGGTCCTACTTTGATGGTCCTACCTTCCACAGGTGACTGGTGCCACCTTAGTCAGGGGGGCACGTGCCCTCCCAGCAACCAGAGGGGGGGTCCCCTGTGGCAATCTCAGTGACTTGTGAGGGGGAGGGTCCCTGCGGAAAAACTCACTGACTGGGAAGCAGCCACATTGCTCCCGGAATTGGCCACAGCACTAGCAGAAGTGGCCGCATTGCTACATCCAGCATTCCCACTCCCCGGCCAGCACTTGCAGGGAGGGCACCAGCGTTCCCACCTGCCCCCCCTTGCCTGCCACCTAAGCAGGGAGCATGACCAGTCAGGGGGTGCACCAGAACTCTCAAGGGGTGTATGTGCACCCCCATGCACCCCCTACGCATTGCTACTGCTACCTTCCAACCCTAATTTCCCTTGATTCTATGAAAAGAGCCCAAAGGGGTCACAAAAGTGAGTCCAGGTAACAGGCTAAGAACTGCAGCCCCTGTTTGAACCATACACGAGAGTCCAGCCAGACATAAAACCACAGGACCCTAGAGAAGTCAGACTGGAAGGGACCTACCTCCAGAGGTCACCTAGACCACCCCCTTGCCTGAGGCAGGACCATCCCTATCCAAACCACCCTATACAATCCATAATCAACTCTGATACAACAAAGACCTAAGACCCTAACCTGCCACAGGTAAAGCAGAGGAATAATGGCAGCCAATATCTAGCTTCTATGAAATGCTGCTGATAAATGTTCAAGAGATCCTGGGTAGAGGACCATGCCCCCCACCACCCAGGAGGCAAAAACCCCTATTCTGAACCAATCTGACCATGAGGTAAAATTACTTCCTGACCCCAAACTCGATGATCAGTCTGCCCTGAGCAGAGGGGCAGTCTGTGACTAATTTCTTATTCTTCAAATTCCTGTTTAAATTGGTTTCCAAAGGCTTGCTGCCTAAGAACAGCCACTTTGGGGCTTTGTTCAGGTTCAGACCGCATCTGGCTCTGGCTGGGCAAAAAACCTTCTCAGTGGTCCCTTGTTCCTGCATCACAGCCTGAGGTTATTTTGGTATCATAACTAAAGGCACTAAATCATAACTGTCCAACCATGGTCTATGCTGCCTCTGACATGGGCTACACTGCCCCATCACCTCATCTTCAAAAGGAAACAGAAGCTGGAGGCGGCGGCAATGGCAGATCCAGAGGCATGGTCATACCCCTCTTTCGGGCCATGCTTCAGAAGCAGCAGCTGGGAAGTTTAAGTCCCTGAATGAGGTAAGAACCCCCTGCTTTAGCGCCTCCTTCCTTCCCCGCCATGCTTGGCCACACATCCCCTCCCCTCTCATTCCCCCTCAGCACATACCCTCCCCTCTCATCCTTTATTTCCCCCTCCTGATGCTAACACTATCTCTGGCTGACCCTGGGGTAGAAGGAACTCCGAAGCCAAGAATAAGGGCAGCAGAAACCCACTAGCTGCAAGTTAAGCAGTTGTGGGCTGCATGTAGCCTGTAGGCTGCCAGTTGGACAGCCCGGAATTAAATGAATCCCCCTCACTGACTTTCCATGTCCTTTCTCTGCTTCATTTATCATGTTTTAATAGGCATTTCACTTATGGACCATACAGCATTATTACCAATTACAAATTGCCATTTCTAAATCAGAGCTACATTCTGGTCCTTTTAAAATTACTTCCTATGGAAAAAGCTTTCATTGTGATTATTCATTGCTGGGGAATTAGTTACAGGAAACAAAGAAAGGAAATAAAACTGCAGCAAACCTAAGATTATATATAACTCAAACTTTATTTCAAGGCATTGTAGTGTCTATACCTTAAAACTTTCACAACAATCAGCTTTTATATTACTATAGAGTGGCCTTGTCAACCTCATCCTATAGTAAGGGCAGAATTATATTTTTAAGCAGAAGCTCTGGGCCTACTCTACAAAATTAGCACCATGTAATACTTCTGAACTCACAAGGGCCTTCCTTGTGATGTCAGCAGGATTTGTGCACAAAGAACACAGAATATAGTCATTAGCACTCAATAAACCTGATCCTGCTGCACTTATGTACCCCAAAGCTCCCTCTGAAATTAGCAGGACGTGTGAGAAATACAGAATCAAGCCTTCAGCATGCAGTTGATTGCTCTAGTCAGTTATCACTGAAAGTGATGGGCTGTTTTTAAATCCAGGATTTACACCAGTCAGATCACTTAATCCAATTTTTACTGTCTGTCTCTTACCCATGTCTCTCTTCCATCCTTCTATTTTTGCCATTTCTCTCACTTCTTTGAGATCACTCTTCTTTTTCCTGTTTATCTTTTTTTTTTTTCTTTCTGCCTTCTTACTTGCTGTTTTTAGCTCTCAACATCATTTTTATGTCATTTGCCCTTCTCTAACCACAGTCCTACTCTTGATCTCACCAAGTTCCCAGCCATGGAATGTACGTAGAGGAAAATGGAGATTTTTTTCATACATGAAGCATTATACACAAAGGAATCCTGCTTCAAGCTTTTAAGAAAAAGGGCCAAACTGAAATACAACTCGACTAGGATCTGATGATCAAATCCAAGTCTGCTGCCATTTCTAGCAAGGAAGAGGTAGATGCAGAAGTGCTTTACACAGATCCTGAAAAGGAAAGATCTAGTCAGTAATGTTTGTAGATACCCCTTTGGTCAAAGTACTAAAATTGCTGTTTTGGCTGCCACTGGCAGCCAAACAGTCACCTGGTCATAAATTAATTTGCACATCAGATGAGAACATTGATCAGGCCACATTTGGACCTCATGAGGAAGTTTGACACACATGCTACTTAGGTAAGCTAACATGTATTCCTTAGGAAAAAAGACACTAATCAGAAATTTGATACAGCTAAGTTAAGCCATATTGATCCAAAACAACCTCTACACTCCAAAAGCTGGATAGTTTTCTTTTTAAAAAGCCAAAACAGAACTTAACATGGCAATAAAAGTTATACTGAATTAAGAGAACAGTGTTGTGCCCAATCTTTATTCACCTCTTTGTCCCATGATGAAAGGGCCATTTGCATGTGAAAAATCTGACTGGTTTTCCTCATCCAAATCCAAAATATCTGGAATCTCATCAGATTCTGAAGACAAGTCTGTAATAGAGAAATCTAGCACCTGCAGAGGAAGAAACTCAACATAAATTTGAAAGTACAAGTTTGAACAGCCTGTTTTCAACACAAACAACAAAATTTAGACTTCAGCAGAAGCCAATGGAAGTTTCAAGTGCTCAGAGCACTAACACAGGAACAAAATATGCTGTCCAATCTTACATAGATGAGTTAGACTTGGACAGATAGAAGAGACAGACAAGCAAGGCATATAGCAGTTGCTTCTAATAAAGTTGGAGCAAAATTGCCATCAATATAGGACATATGATGATAATTTGGGGAGGTAAGTTAAGAAAGGACATAACCTAATACGAATGGTCTTTTGTATACCTCAGATCTGCTGCAAGTTTGTTATATTATCTTTATATTTAGTCTGCTATGTAATGCAGATATGAGGGTGGTTTTGAGAATGATGTAGTGGTTATGCAAGATGCCAGACTGAGAGCCTGTTTATCTACAAAACAGGTTTGGCACAGGTGGTATTGGTACAAAAATGCTCTGTATTGTACCAATACAGAACCTTGCTTTCTGAACCTTGCTCTGAAGAGACTGGGTGAGGAAGGGGCTGGTTACAATGGTGTGGTATTAACACTTCCCAATAGTATGGCAAGGAGAATAGAGAGTCTATACGCATCTATCTATCAAGTTGTTAAGGTGGGGGGTGGGATTCAAAATTACCCTCATAGTAGAATGAACACTTCTCTACTCCAGGTGGAGAATACTGACTGAATCACTTAGGAATACCTCATGCACATCATTCTTCAGCTTGTAATATATATTATTGGTGTGAATGTTAAATAGTTGCTAGGTCAAAGCTATTTCCATATGCAGATTGGTTAGCAGACCACTCAGCATACCTGGAATGACTGGCGACTGTCCAGAAGTACACAGGTCAGCTAGGTGCTTCAGTTCCGTTGTAATTTAAGCTACTTTAATACTCTAATACAGTGTGTTCCCAGGTATAAGGCACCTGCAAATAACTGTTGATCCTGCTCAGTGCCTCCTGCCATTTCAATTACTGCATAGCATTGGCAGCAATTCCCTTTGCTACCAATTACATACACTGGTATCGGAGAAAGCAGCAACTACAAAGGCAGCTGGAGCAGGGGTAGGTACTCTCACCTGCCCCCTACTACAGTAGGAAGTAAACCAACAAAATCTGGAGAACTACATGGTTTGTCTGCCTTTGTGCGCATACATGTGTTTGGTTCTGGATGCATGTGCACACGTGTTTGTTATGGGTATGTTCTGGTTCTCCATGTTCGTGCACATGGTTCTCCGTGTGCATGTGCGTTCATCTGGTTCTCTCTGCTCTCCTCTCTCTCATGCGTCTCTCTTTTCCCCTCTCATTGCAACATGCTCAATAAAAAAGGAATACACAGAGGCAACACTTATGCTTATGAAATATACTAATATGCAGTGCATGCTGCCATGTACACACCCCACCCCCCTTTTTCTGGCATGCCAGCACTGTGGTACCTTCCAAAGTAGACAGTGTGGTTTTTTCAGCACTCCAGCAAAAAAAAAAAAAAAAAGTTGCCTACCCCTGCATTACTACAATCTTAAGATGTACCAGTATAGTCCTGTAAAAAGGGACTTGAATTAACCACCTTCTCCCACTATGTTTAAAGTGATTTGTGAAGTGTCTCATATTTTCATTTCAAGCCAAAGATAAAATTGAAGGGTTTCTTGTTGCTACAAGTGTTGCTCATTTTAAATTATACAAGTATGCTATGAAAAAGAAAGATAAATATCAGTTATTGTAGAGTGTTGGAGCAACTTACAAAAAGAAAAGAAAGACATAACAAGACACAGCAACTGAGTGAAATCTGTGGAGTATTAGATGTCCCATGTAGATGATACTTAGAAGTTAGGATCCTTTTGCTTAGAGCAGCGATTGTCAACAAAAATGCTAGGGCATTCTGGGATGTTGAATATTAACACTTTAGTGTGAAGACGCCCAGAACATGATTCACAATATAAAACTCAGAGGTTTCAAGTAGAAAGCAGTAGCGTCAAAAGCCATTCTGAACAGTTCTCATTTCTCCTATTGCAAACAGCCTAGGAAACTGCTCTATTATTTCTCCACAGTCAAAGGGAGTGAAAGCCAAAAGGAAAGCGGATGTGGGAGCACTACTCTTAAGTGTCACAAGATACAGCACAAGTAGGCCTGCTTGGGGAAGGGCCTTATAAAAAGTCATGAAAGAGTCAAAAAGAGAGAAGAAATCTGACCAAGTGAACCGTGGTTGACTGAACTGGTATCCTTTAGCCCTGTACTTCAAGTTCAGAGCTTGTGTGTTATATTCTGTGCATTAAATTTAATGTGTGCAGGCAGAGAAGGCAGGGTAAAAAATTCATACCCCATACACCTTTATCTGTTCCTGAGCTATGGCCAGTTTCCCAGCCATAGGAGAATTGGACGTCTCTTTTCCTCACTCAGGTATGGAGACCTTATGAGGAGACCCTCAGCTGGTCACACAGCTGCTTGGGCTCAGAAAACAGCTGCTCCTTGGTGATGCTGAATAGAAGGTGCACCAAAAAACACCAGAAGGCAAGCATACCAGACTTATATTAGCAGTTCAAAAGGAGGCAGTCAACTGGCACTCCACTGACGTGCTTATATTTTATTTTATTTATTTTTTTAAATTATAAACACTCCAGAACAACTCTTCAAGCTGTTTTTAGTACCAGGTCAAAGACGACATTCAAGCTCTGGATCATAGATTCAGGGACAATTTGCCACATTTCAAGTAGCAGGTACTCCAGAATATGGTTGCAAGAATCCCCCTGAAAAGTCCCAGGAATCTTAGAGTGTGCAGGTGTCTTCCAACACCTGTACCTTTATGTTCAGTGTAAGATTAATAGCCTTTTGGTTTCCAGCTTGAAAATATTCTGAAGCATGGCCCCAAAGCCTTTATTTATAATCCTTCAGTAATGGTTTACTTAAGACTGGATATTTTCCACAACCTGACTAGTTTAAAAACTAAAACTTAGACAGGTAGTAACAATGAGTTGGAATGCTGAAATGCATGTTTTTGATTTTGACCGGCTGGTGGCCTGTTTGGAAATAGACTAGTGATGCTGCAATACTGGAGCCTGCAATCCATTGTAAGTAATAAGCAGCATGTTAAAGTTTCCTTTTACCTTAGTGGAAAATGACCAGATAGACTGAATGAGGCCAAGTTCAGAGGGGCCTCCCCACCCAGATATCAAGATATTTTGGTTTCTGAGTGTATTTGACACTAGTAAAGCCAAGTACAGATCAACAGGAGAGGTCAGCCAAGGCAGGATGCATTAGAAACCGCATGCATAAAATACAGGTCCTGCCTGCAGTGCAGGCAGAACATACTAGTGTCTAGATCCTTTTGTTCCCACTAATCTCAGACACTGCAGAATAGTTATTCCCCATAATTTGGCATTTCACCAAGGCAAATAAGCATGGACAAAACACAGTAAAAACTAAGAGGGTACAGGTGTGGAAAGGTGTATGAGAAGTCTAGGAGAGGAAACAAATGCAGCAGCAACATCTGACCCATCTATACAGAGATTGCACTTGTGGCACAAATTGGTAGACCAGCAGTTTGTGTCTACTTGATTTACATTTCAGGCCTGCCTCCTGCTAGACCTAGTTCAAGCAAGGCAGGGAGTCATACGGTTTAGAATGCTAAAAATGCTTGAGTTGCCTTTTTACACCATTCAAAATGAGACAGACTTTGGCTGCTGAAGCATTTATTACTAACATACAAAAGAGTGTTACAAACAAGGTCAAGGAGGCACTACAAAGACACACAGGGAGTAGGCACCATGGTACAAACAGCATGAATCTGGTTTCTACCATTTTGTAATGGTAGCTCTGCCTGACCAAATTAGAAACCCCTCAGACCTGAACAAGTAGTAAATCCTCATTAAGACATTAGTATCTTGTCTTTAAAGAAATAGGTAGCTGTGTAGGTCACAAGTGTCCAAATCAAAAACTATAAAAAGATTAGTGCTCAATCTGTACTTGTTCAAAACAAGTCTGACAAAAGTCCCATGTACGGTATAGTAGCTGAGACTATTAAAAATGGTTTATTTGGCTTTTCTCCTGCACAGATCATAGACTAGCCAGAACTCTGGCTTTCACAAGTTATATTTAAGCTAACTTTGTACTTTCACTATCAGCCAGTATAAGGCTTCTTAACCAGGTAGCTAAACAAGGCGTCTTGTCTACCGTAAATAGCAGAAGCTTACAAGCCTCAAGGCACTTACTGTTTGCATGAGGCACTGCTATCCCAGGACAATAATGTCCATCTCCAAGCAAAGGTCCTTTCCTGGGGTTAGGAAGAGAGAGTTCAGTGCTTTAGTCTAATCTATCTTGTTGGTTTTGCTCCAACCAATGACCCGACTGCTAGAGTAGTCAATTCACCTCGTTTGGTCAGACTGCAAAGTACACATGCTACAAATTTAATCTGTGCTGGTTTCAGGCTGTTTGTCTTCCTGGCTGGCATTTTCCTCCCCTTCACCCTTGTGCTCAGCATGCTGAGACCCAGCCAGTTGTGGGTAAAAGGGACCTACCAGCCAGTTGAGTGGCGTGTTGTTAACTAGATAATCCATCACATCATCCAGAGACTCCTTCATTTTCTTCAGTTGTTCTTTGCTTGTGGCAAGGATGTTATCAGAGATTTCATGGAAAGAGGAAGTAGAACAGAAGCTTCTGTAGATGTCATCTGCCATCACCCCAATATGGTGGGCCTGATCCTGGACGTTCTGTGGCAATCCCTGTATGCTTGACATAAGGGCGAGGCAGGTGGTCTGGAGCTGCCGAGTCAGGCTCTGTGCAATAGCTAGTGTGCGTGACTCAATGTGCTAGGGAAAAAAATGTGCATAATAGCACTTCATCATCTTGAATTTAGCCAGAGAGCAGAATTACTATGATAAAAATCCATGACCAGAATGAAAGCAAGAGATTAAAGACCTGAATTAGGGCTTTAGTTTCAGAGACAGAAGACTTCAGATTTTGACTGGGGGGGGGGGG